GCTGTGGATAGTAGTGGAATAAATGTTTTCAACATTTGCAGAATCTATTTTTGTTAAGATGTGTGGATGTGGGCTGGAATTTTTAAGGGAACAATTACTGTGTTTGATGCTTACCACACAAACATGGTGTGGCATCATTTCATATTCTCCAATATTTGCTTAGAATGGGATAGATCAGCCTAAATTTTGCCTCAAAAATAGGTCAAAAGAGAAGTTTATTTATCTTGACACTATACTTTGTTATCTCCAAAAGGCCAGTTATTCTATTGCTTAAATACCTGGCACCGTTGATCACAGTTGCTGTCTTTCTATCTTGATCCAAGAGATTCTTAATTTGATTTCAACTGTTCTTAAAATATAATATAAAATAATGGGAATATAATATATTTGGAGGTGCTGATCAAAAATTAATAAAGCAATTTTTTCTTGCATTAAGTAATTTTTCTTTGTTCAGGATGCTTGCTAGTGAAACATTTCTCTCTGCTGAACACATTCTGTGCATGAATGTCCATGTCACTCAGTGACAGTAATTACACGTGTGTACGCACGTGCACCCATCCACACAGAGAAAGAGGGCAGACTCCAATCCTAACCCAATCAACTCAATCAGATGCTTTAAAATCATTAGGTAATGGCTTTTGGTGTTGGCACACACCCAGGCAGTTTGTCTAGCTTTGTTTGCACATTTTTTTGAATACCACACATTTGAGCTTTGAAAAATTATCTAAAATGCTAAAAAAGGATAAATTATGTATGAATTAAAACACAAATTGATGGCATTTCTGTTGCATGTTTTTCCCCCACAGGCAGCTGATAACGCTGGGCAGGCGTGACAGCCTGTTCACCCATATATTCACTCAACAGACATATGTTATTGCATGAGGACTTACTGCATGCTAGGAGCTGTGGTGGATACCAAACTAAGCCACAGCTCTTCTGCAAGGAGAGATAGAACACATGGTTATCATAGGAATCAAGGTGGGGTAGAAGGTTAATTCCCATCTACCCACCATTTATCACCCTCCTCCCACTCTGCCACACAGCAAGCAGGGACACAGGGACATAGGTAGCCAATGGCTCACTCTTTTCTTGAAACGTTCTGATCTCTTGATTCCTACTGAACACTCAGGGCTACCAGCCGCCTGTATAGTATCTTGAGCACAAAATAGGCACTGCTTTGTCTGGAGTGAAGATGGAAATCTATTCTGAGCTCCACTCTCTCCCAGTTGTAAAGAGCTGATGCAGGCCCACAACAGGTTGGACACAAACCAAATTGTTACCACCCCTTCCCATCTTCATTCACCTCACCTCCACTCCAGGTCAGGTAGCCCTCTAGAGACATAGCCTGTACAGCCTGTACAATTAATCAAATTAATGTGAAAAATAATGGCATTTTTCTCTACATTACTTCGGGTTGGGGCTACAATCCCTAGGGAACCATTCCTCACCCAGGCTGAAGTCAGGCAGGGAGAGTGGGGGGACCTGCAGCACCTTTGTTGGTGATAAGGAGGGTCTTCACATCTCTTTCTGAACTTTCTCTAAAGAAGTTGGTAACCTTGCTTGTGATTTAAAAAGATATATAATAAAGTTATGATAAATGATGCAAGTTAAAAAAATTAGTAGGTCTAAATGCTATGAGCTATATGACTTTCACCTTATTTCGTGTCTCGTTAAGGATTAAATTGTAAAATGGGCCTAGTAATAGTATTTAGTTTATAGGTATGATGTGAAGATTAACTCTGATTAAATGTATGTATTTTAATACAATATTAACATTCAGCAAATGTCGGTGTCATTAATTGTCACCACTTTGGCAGGCTACTTTGTATCTTTTTCCCACTCTTTGCTACCACTTCCTGAGGGCTTCTTCCACTTTTCCTGTATTACTGTTACCTTTCACTCAGTGCCCAACATCTATGCCTAATTTCTTGCTGGATGATTCATTGTATGTTCCCCTAAGATTTTAAAGGAAGGAGCCGTCATTTTTTAAAGGTATGAAAGATGAGATAGCTTTAGGTCATCTTAAATGACATCTGAGGTCACATAGCAAGCCAGAGACAGATTCGGATTTTACTGATGTGTTTTAAAGTACCTCTGTCCAGGTGCCTGTTCTGACTTTTTTTTTGAGAGCGAGAGAGAGCAGAGACAAAAGGATAAATGTTTCATCCCTGCTTGCAGCAGGTGTCATATTTGATTTGCAGGCCTTTCAACAAAACAAAAGCCCTTTTCTCTTCTTATACAATGTATGCTCTCTTTAAAGGTACTCAAATGAGAAAAAAAAAAGCATACAGTTCTGACAGACAGAAACTCAGATCTTAGTTGCTAATTCACTCTTCACAGAGAAAACTAGATGCCCCTGAAACATTCTTTTCTAAATAGCATTTACATTTTTATGAATGTAATATTTGAAATATACATGAGTGGCATTCTCAGCAAGATACCATGTTTATACCAGCATGGAAATCTTTTAAAAGCCAGGTAAGTTCTCCTTTATATAATCAACAAAGAGAATGTCTGAGTAATAACACAGAATATCATGTTTGCTCATTGCGGTTGGTTTTAAATGTCTGGCTACCCCTAAACAGTTACTATTGTTGGTAATACACCATTGGTAATATACCTTCTAAACCACATAAATAGTACAAAAATGTATTTAACTTTTCCAAAAAAAGTTCTGTCCTGGTGTCATTAAAGCTTCCTAATAATAAAAAAAATTGATTTAGCTAAAATGTAATGAAGTACTAACTATGCGCACTGTGTTGAGGGTGAGGGCTTTTCATATCTAATGTCATTTACTCTTTCCAGCAACTACAAGAAATGGGTACAACTATTATCCCACTTTGCAGATTAGGAAACTCAAGCTTAGTGAGGTTTATAGTTTGCTATAGGTCTCAAAGTTAGTAAGGTCTGGTGCCACTTGGACCCCTGCCTTGAGAGCCTGTATCATCAATTCCAAGGCACTGGGTGGCCTGACTATTCATTGCCCTCTAAGGCAAGAGAGGCACCAGATCAGATGGGCATGAGTATTAACTTTGTATTCACGGCTCCACAGCTCGGAACCTGTAGCTTAGCAGCTAGGGTGCTAGCCACATATACCAGGGCTGGCCCAGGGCCTGCCAAACAACAATGACAAATACAACGACAACAACAACAAATAGCTGAGCATTGTGGAGGGTGCCTGTAGTCCCAGCTACTTTTGAGGCTGAGGCAAGAGAATCACTTACGCCCAAGAGTTTGAGGTTGCTGTGAGCTGTGATGCCATAGCACTCAACTGAGGGCGACATAGTGAGACTCTGTCTCAAAAAATAAACAATAAATAAATAAATTAATTAATTAATTAAATTTGTATTCAGAGGTAACAATTGTTCTGAGGTAAAAAAATCTTTGGGTCCTATTTTACCTAGAATCCACACATTCAAAATACAAGTGATAAAAGAAAATTAGCTCATCAATTCTTAATATGTGTGTAAATTAAAAAGAAGTCAGTCTTTTGATGAGATATTTCATCAGAATAAAGTGCTGTGAGTGGAGTTAGGAATCTGAGTACTTGAGTGCTTGCCTTTCAGGTAAGTGTAGGAGTTTGAAAAGCTCATTATATTGATAAAGTATCTTAGGGCATTTCAGAACATAGCTCTAAAAGTTCTTTTCGCTGTTGAAATTTTAAAATTCTTTGTCTTAAAAACAGAAGTATGTCTGTACTCTTTCCCTTCCATTTTTCAAGTAAACTGTTAATTTAGGAAGTCCTATTTGTGTGTTGATTGGGGGGGTGTATGTTAAATAATTATTAACATGGTTTATTAATTCTTTTAGAAAACATTAATCATAAATGTACTGGAGAGGGGGAAGGATCCCATAAGATAGTTGGCCAAATCCCACCTGCTCAAACAATCCCCCAGTGATAATGTGAAACAAAACTACCCAAATCAGGACACCTGATATCAAGAATTCATGAAGTAAAACCATTGTACTGCAAGGAATCTAATGCTTTTGCTTCTTATCCTTTAAATACAAACAAAATAAGCTTTATTGGGTTCGGTGATTCTTAGAAATGAGAGGTTTGAGAAACAGAGCCACTGTGGAGTCTGACATGCCAAAAACAAGCAGAGGAAGCAGTTTGTACAGTCCCTTTTGGGTGCACACGTTCAGGCGCAGGTGCCCCTCCAAAGACTGCATTTCTGGGAGGGAGAAGCGCAAAATGCAGATTCCACCGTTCCTGTGAAAGGAAGTTTGGGGGTGGGGAAGGCAGGTAAACATCTTGTTACCGAGCTTCCCGACTGCAACCAGGCTGACGGATGGGGCTTTTCAAAACGTCGCTGCAACCAGACGCAGGGGTGCAGCGGCTCCGCTTACCGCAGCGTGCTGCAGTTGTGTGTGTCTCGGGGACAGACACAAGGGGAAGTCGCAGCCCGAGCACACTCAAGCTGCTCGCTGGAAGCCTCGCTGGAGAGAAAGGATCCACAGAAGCTGGGAAATTCCTGCCCCAGCCCGGGCGGAGGCTGAGCGGCGGCTCAGGTTGAGACGGTGGGCAGGGGCTGGGGGCGGCGCTCCGGGCCCCGCGCTCGGCCCGCGGCCGCCTTGTGGCCCGGGAGGCTGCCTGCACCGTGCCAGGAGGCCGGCCGCGAGTCCCTCCCTCCCGGGAGACAGCCGATCGCAGCCCAGGTGGGGACTTCTCAGGACCGTACCTGGCCGGCCTTTCTGGTTATGGCAGCCCAGAAATGAAAGCAGCGGCGGCCGCCGCCTGGGAGGGCTACAGTGAGAGCAGCGCCCAGCAAATAAGAAGCAAGTCCTGGACCCGGAGGAGGAGCGGCCGAGCATCTCTCTCCCGCTCCTCCGTGTCCTTTAAATGAGGACTCCCTGCCAGCGCCGAGGTGGATCTGCAGAGCCTCCCTCTCCGCCGCTGACCCTCGCTTACATCACTGACCTGTGACAGGCGCATCTCCACGCCCGGTACCTGCTCCTCCGGCGGCTCCAGCCCTACAGCCCCTTTGTATGCCGCAGACATGGCCAGCCAGCAGGATTCAGGCTTCTTTGAGATCAGTATCAAATATTTACTGAAATCCTGGAGTAATAGTGAGTAATAGAAAATAACCTTTTTGTTTGTTTGTTTGCTGGATGTTGCGTAAGGTTTGAGAAATAAAATCTCAACTGGACACATATGTTTGTGAGCTGAGGAAGTTTTTTTTTTTTTTTTTGCTTCCATCTGCTGTGAAAAATCAAAATGTCAGAGACTTAACTAGCTTTCCTCAAGTGCAGAGGCTGCAGTGAAATTACAGTAGATTTTGTTTGATTAAATTTTGAAGTGAGATGGCCCTTCAGACTCTGGTGGAGTGAGGAACCGGGCACTCCTGGCAGCATTTCCTGCCTCGATGTTTATTTGATTTATTCAGGCTTTATCTAAATATTTTGTGAAGTGTGATTTAATCAAAGGGGTGTGGCCGGGTTTCAGAGTACTTTGGAATTGTTTTATTAGGGTATTGTCTGCCGAAAGAAAAGTACTTAATAGTCCAAAACCTAAGACTCATCCTTTTTGTATACAGAGGCATCTGCAGATTCATTTATCTCTTCTTTGACCATGTAGATAATGTTCCAAATGGTATTTGATATTTGAATTTTTCAAAATCCTGATGTTCGCTATATTTCAAATAACATGCTTTTTTTTTTTTTTTTTGAAACATAGACAAGTGAGGTTTTGGCCCTACTCATTTATTAGGATATTAGAATATGATGGCTCCTGAAATTCCATTTCTGACCTACATAAAGATTTTAGCCATATGCTATTTCAAAAAGACAACCTTTAAGCCACTGTAGATCTGAAACCAAATTTAAATGAGGCCTTCAGGTGATGTTCCGGGTTATGTTTTGATCTATGCCTTGTGTTTTGTGAACAGTTTAAACACAGTCTTCTGCATTTCACTGACAGCCTTTGGACTCGCTTTGGATCAAAGACTGGCAGGTAGTGCGATGATTCTTAATTGTTTTAAAACAATTTTCTGAGAAAATTTTGATAATTGTATTATATGCATACTAATTAACCTACCTTTACTTAAAGAGCTGGTGGTTAATTATCTCCTAAACGACCTGTGACAAGATTGTTTTTATGTAAACAAAGCCTGGGCAGGAAATCTGTGCCCTCACTGCTTTGAGAGAAGAACCAAAGTACCTTCAGCCTCAAGGTATTCAGGGATATGCATCTCTAAGTGGTATCTGTAGAAACCATTTTTTCCTGGTCATTTTGCACCACTGTGTACTCTGTGGGGCTTGTCTGAAGCTGTTTTCTTTCTACAAGTGGGAAGCCATTTGGGAGTAATACTGATGTCCAAACAGCATTCCTTTATTTGTTATAGCTATAAACCATTTAACTTGGATTCGTTATTTGTTTAATATGCTGCACTCAGGGATGAATCTTCCTTTGTCTCTCTACTCTTCGATTAATGAGAAGAATTTGACAAGCAGGGTTCTTTATAGTGCACTTTTCCAGTAATAACAACAAGAAAAAAACTCACTTGTGACTTTGTCATAAGTATGTGGTTTTTAATCATCACTCAATCATTCCAAAGCCAGACTATTTTCTTCCATCAATTCTTGTCATTGCCTCAGTAGTTGGAAAATTGTGTTGTGACAACACTGAGACCAGTGGGATTTCTTTTAAAAATCCCTCCCCCCTTGTCTATTTTCAAGTACCTTCCAAAATTCCTCTCCCATCTCCTCACAAACATACATCAGGAAATACTTGAAAATGTTCATTTCTACTTTGAGAGTATTTATGACACAATGTTTAATTCTTCTAATTCATTCATCAAATATTTATTGAACATCTACTATGTGCCAGGCCACGGGGGCATAGAGGTGACTGAGACACAGTTACTGCTCTGTATATTAATTTCTTTATTCATTAATTAGAGTGAAGTTAGTGGTTTTCCAGTGTTCTTTTGGAGGTCAGATGTTTTCAGCCCTTTCTTGAAAGAGGAAGAGGAAATGTACTTTGTTTATCTTCTTTAAGCTTGTTACAACACTAACCTGCTTCTAGCCTAGCATAGCTCTCATTGCTAAGTTTCACCTATTTTCAGTAGCAAAGAGAGAAAGGAATCTGTCTGTGTAGAAGACAAAGTAGAAAACAGAAGCCCTAAGGCTTAACCCACTCAGAGTAACCTTGGCTGAGAGGATGCACCATGGGCAAGCAGCTCATCATGTCCTTGCACGCGCATGCCTAGTGTCACAGGTTTGAGAGGTGAGGATGCCCGCCCACATACCTGAATGGAGAATCAGCCTCCTAATTATATGGTAGTGCTTATTTACAAAAGTGCAACAATTAAAAAGCAATAAAACAAACTATAACTACAGCTGACTGCTTCACAGGCATTTGTGAGAGGAAAGGTGATTCCTGTAAGCATTTCCGGGTTAAGGTTTCCAGTATCTTTTTAAAAATATGGAACATTGTGGTGGAAATGTAATTTTATATAGATTTGGTCTCCCCCAAAGAATTAACAAACCAATTAAATAAACCAGTCACTGCCTGGTGAGATACATTAGCTCTTGTATCTCATTTTGGCAGTCTCTACTGGCATGTCTACTCCATCAGGCTGCCCTTTCATTTGAATGGAGCTGGGAATTAAAAAGGCCTTGACGTCTGAAAATAAAATGTCCTGTGCAAACCTCATAGCAGAAGGTTTTGTGACCCTTGGATATCTGTCCTGTTGTTCTTCACCACTCTTACCCAGGCTTCCCTGGCTGTGAGGCTGGCAGCCGTGGTCCCATGGTCCCATGGCCACCGCATGCCCTTCTCTGTTTAATCTGAGCTGCTCCCCAGCTCTCCCTTGCCTCTGAGTGTTCAGACCTTTGCTCAGAATCCTCTTTGAGCTCCTGATCCATCCTCATGTTGTTTTTCTGGTCCAGCCATACTTAGCCTTCTCACCCCTCTCTGTGTTTAGCTAACTTGCTCCCACACCCATGCCTGCATATACGGCAGCCCTCTAATCTGGCTGCCCTCACATAGAATTCACAGTCACAATGCCAGACAGCTTTGATTCAGATCTCTAGCCTGTGCTCTTGCATGTCCTTGGGCAATTAACTGACTACTCTGTCTCAGTTTCCTCATCTTTTAAATGGGGGCAGACAGAATGGGTACCTCATAGGAGAAAATGAAGTATTAATATGTAAAGTACTTAACACAATACCTAGCAGACTGTAAATATTCAACAAATGACAAAATAATATTAATGTATTCTAATGCTCCCCTCCCTAACGAACTCACTTAAAATCTGACTTACGCTACTTCTCCTCTTAGCTTTGGCATTTGCAGTGGATTATTCTATGAGCAGGTTACACTTGCTACATCTGTACAGGAGGAACCACATGACTAGATGTCAAAATTAGTTGCTTAATTTGGACCATTTTGTTTCCAGATTTACTTTTTAACTCCACCCTCTTTTCTACCTCAGCTACTATGAGAATATTCCTACCTTCCCTAAGTGCATATCTTTTAGCAACATGAGAGTGGGGCTGGAAATTTTCTCAACAGCAGAAAGTCACCTTGCCCTCTTTGGTTGGCTACAGAAAAAGTTTAGAGTGGATAGTTCTAAGCTATTTCCTGGGAAAGAAGGGCTTGCTTTGTATTACTGTATAACCCTGTTGGTGTGTCCCTGCACCAATCCCAAAGCTCTAAAGGGCTTCCTTATATTTCTGTTCACACCAAGATGCCCAGTGAACCTGGGGCCCAGTAAATGAAAGTACATTCAGAATCCATTCAACTCCTCCCTCTCTCCAGGGCAGTGCATCCTTCCTATAACATTTGGCAAATCTTGCTACGCCATTGAGGGAAACTTTGTGAATGCCTGTGAAGTCTTTCAGATACTTAGAACTCCATTAACTGCTCTGGGGAACTGAACAATCTCTTTGTAGTAGGAAGGGTTAATGTGTATTATAAAATGTCTTAATGTTGCTCTAGAACAACCTGATTAATTGGCAGAATCAGATTCAGCATTTTTCAGGTATGTTGTATGAGTTAAGTGGTGGTGATATGGACAGTATATGCTCAACATTGAAAAGCCAGTTACTATGGGGTTGACACTGGGGCCAAAGAGAATCCTGTACATGTGAGGATGGAAAGCACCTGCTATTCTCTGCAGAACAACATCGATGGCTATTTATGTTGTAGGTGCATCTCAAGGAGCCTCTGAGAAAGTTTTAAGGAAAATTAAAACAATAATGTTAGTTTTAACTTCTTTGTAGAGTCAGTTTAAAGAAGTAGAAAACTAAGAAGGTTAACTGAATTGCCTAAGTCCAGCAGAAGGGTAGAGTTCAAGGGCAATCATACTTAACTGCTGTTCTAGGCACTGTACCTAGCACTGTTCTAGGCACTCAGTGGGAGAGTTACTCCACTGTCTGTAGCTTATTAGAGGTGTTTGATGGTACATGCCCCTCTCTAAGGCCACAGAGTCACTTCTGCTTACATAGTTTACAGCCCTAAGAACAAAAACCCCAAAATCAACATCCATGCTCTTCTAAATAGAAAAGGTCTGCCCCTGCGTTTGATTGAGACACATCAGAGGTTTTTTGTTTTTTCATTTAAATGCATGAACAGTTCTTGAATACTAATGACTGTCACTCTGTATCAAATATTATGTATAGTGATTTGTATATAGGCAACCACAAAATTGTCCAAACTGGGACACTTTGAGAATGAAAGTTAATAATTACTCTGGGACACTGGGTGTTAACTAGGACTGCCCCAAGCGAAGAGGAACCTGTGATCACTCTGTTTATTATTTTCACACTTTCTAATAATACTGTGAGTTTATGTATTATCCACATTTTACAGATAAGAAAAAAAAAGAAAAATTATCGAGAAAATGATTTGCTCAAAGCCAAGATGATAGTACCCCAAATCCAACTGATAACTGCATTGTTTTTTTAATCCCCCAAAGGACCGAAGGATCAAGAGCCCTGTTGGGAACTTAGTTCTTTATAGGTACTTTCGATTTTTGTTGGCTGATGTCTCTGCCAGTTCTTAGCCTCCGCCCACCCTCCCTCCCTTTGGATTATGTTCTCTCCTCTCTCTCTCTCAAACACCA